AAAAAAAATTTTTCCTATACTTTCCATACAAAGGTCTTGTTATCGCTTCAGGAATCTCACAGTACAATTTTACTCTAAATGACTGAAGACTGTGCTTATGCCCACTCAACCCCAAGTCCCGGATCTATTCCTCATTTTGAGCTCCTTCTCAATCCTGGACACTATGGGGGGGAGGGAGGCAGATAAGCATATGAAAGGAACAGAAGAGGATCAATGGTACCAGTTAACGGGTGCTTACAGTTGTACACAGGGAAGAGCAACCAAACCCACCAGAATCCTATTTTCTAGAAAAATTACTTTTGGAAAATCACCCAAGAGCACCCTAGTTAGATCTAGGTAAGATGGGTGCACATTAAAGCCTTGTCCCCCAAAGAGTGACTGCTATGAATCTCTTGGAAAAATAACCTATCCATCATTATGGTTGTGGACCCCTGTAGACTTGGTATACTGTTAGAGCTTCAGATCTTCCTTTGATCATGCAAACCCCACATGGACAGATTACTTATTTTCTGCCAGTTTTTCCTCCTGGAGACCCCATGACCTTTATCCCCCAGCCCATACAAGGCAATGTGGACATAATGGGCAAGACATGGTGTTTCTGATGGTTCTAAAGATTCTCTGGCTACCAATAGTCATTCACTCATTCACAGAGTCAACAATCATTTATTGTGGGCCAAGTTCTGGGAATATGAAGGGGGAAACTCACGTAGTTTCCTACTCTCATAGAGAACACTAATAATTGGCATACTCATTACTTGTAAAGGGGTTTCACCTTGGCCCTAAGACAGCAGAATAGGTAGCTCAGCCTTCAACAGAGTTCCCCGGAGAGCGTCTTCTGTGCTCTGATGTATGTCATGGATCGCCATCCTCCAGACAATGATCCACTCCCACACAGCTTTGGGCTTCCCCACCCTCCACACTCCATCCCATCTCCCTCATCTGGAGAAGCCTCTTACCGACAGCCTTTTCTCAATCCCCTAAACGCCCAGCTTCTGAAACTCCCGCCTTTATTCCCTCCCAGTCCCCTGACCTGGGCCTTTTTATTGCCCAGAACTGCTTCTCCTCTAAGACCTTAATCACCCCTCTCCAAATCTCCTGTACCTACCCATCCAATGAACTTACTAATGCTTGCCATCTTTGACCTTCTTCAGTGACATCCCCTTTCTCACAGGTCATTTCTGTTTTCGCTTTTCCTTAGTCAATTTCCTGGTCTCCTCTATGTCTTGCAGGCCCCTTAGTTTGCTCTCTTGGCCTGAACCCCAGCTTGATCACCTCTTAGCACGCCTTCCTTACGAGCCTCCAAGTCTGGATCTGTGAGGCCCACATCTCTTCCTGACCTTCTGACTGCAACTGGAGAGGGTGTCACGGCCAGGCACATGGTGTCCCTCACACAGGCGGGTTTCCAGCCCCCCCTGAGTACAGTCACACTGCTCACCCTTACCTAGGTCACTTTCCTCTCCATGATGGTTCCACCTTTCACCACCCTTCAGAGACCCCTGTCCAATCCAGCCTCCCTGGCTCCCCAGAAGCAACGTATCCCCCATGACACCCCCCAGACACTGTGCCTACGACATGCAGTCCCCTACTTTCCACCTGCAGTTGCTGACATTTACCTGTATTTTCACCCTCTGGCACATTTTTCCCTCCCAGAAATCTGAGAATTACCTGAAACCACTAATTACCCTCATGTTCACACCCAAAGAGCAAAGTCTTCTTATGGATTCTACCATTAACTAGGTCTGGCAGCCCTCCCCTTCCTCAATATCCCTCACCTGCTCCCCTGGACTAGTGTCTCTTTGTGAGCCTCCCTGGGGCCAGACTTCCCAGCTCCCCTCCATGCTGGAGTCAGAATTCAAGCTCCACATGGGTCACATCCCACCGAGGCTCCCTGTGCTTTTGGGATAATGCCCTCTCCTTTCCTCTCTTCATGTTCCTGACTCTGCTGATAAAATATTGTATTGGTGAGAAAGCTTTCATCTTTATTTTTTCTTCCTTTTCTTTCATCCAGTTTCCACATGAGGGGGAGACATAGATCTGAACACGGAGGGCTGAGCTCCCTGCTGTCTGGTGGGCCATGGGCCACAGAAAGTCCTTTCTCCTCCAAGTGCAAACTCAGTAAGGCAAGTCTGCTTCCTGTAGCTGAAGGTAAATGTGCAGGATCTGGGATCTCAGTTGCAATCTAATCAAGATTCATCGACAGGAAAACTGATTTTTGAGCCTTTTCTGCATTCTGAGTCTGTTACAGCATCATTTCAGAATTTGGAGAGTGAGGGTGTGAGGAATTAGAATTTACAAACCCATTTGTAATAGACCCTCCACTATGTGTACATTTATTTATTTATTTATGTTCAGTTAGCCACTGTATAGTACATCATTAGTTTTTGATGTACTGTTCAATGATTCATTACTTGAATATAACACCCAGTGCTCATCACAGCATGGGCCCTCCTTAATACCCATCACCCTGTTACCCCATCCCCTCCTCCCCTCTGAAACCCTCAGTTTGTTTCCCAGGGTCTATAGTCTTTCATGGTTCATCCCCCTCTCTGATTTCTCCCTCTTCAGATTTCCCTCCCTTCCCCCATGGTCTTCTGTGCTATTGCTTACGTTCCACATATGAATGAAACAATATGATGATTGCCTTTCTCTGCTTGACTTACTTCACTTAGGATAATCCCCTCCAGTTCCATCCATGTCGATGCAAACGGTGGGTATTCATCCTTTCTGAGGGCTAAATAATATTCCATTTCATATATGTGTCACATCTTCTTTATCCATTCATCTGTTGAAATGCATCTCAGCTCCTTCCACAGTTTGGTTATTGTGGACATTGTTGTAATGAACATTGGGGTGCACGTGCCCCTTCTTTTCACTACATCTGTATCTTTGGGGTAAATACATTGCCTGACTTCAAGCTATACCACAAAGCTGTGATCACCAAGACAGCATGGTATTGGCACAAAAACAGACACATAGACCAATGGAACAGAAAAGACACCCCAGAAATAGACCCTCAACTCTATGGTCAACTAATCTTAGACAAATGAGGAAAAAATACCCAATGGAAAAAAGACAGTCTCTCCAGTAAGTGGTGCTGGGAAAATTGGACAGCTACATATATAAGAATAAAACTAGACCATTCTCTTACACCATACACAAAGATAAACTCTAAATGGATGAAAGACCTCAATGTGAGACAAGAATCCATCAAAATCCTACAGGAGGACATAGTCAGTAACCTCTTAGACATCGGCCACAGCAACTTCTTTCAAGACACGTCTCCAAAGGCAAGGGAAACAAAAGCGAAAATGAACTTTTGGGACATCATCAAGATAAAAAGCTTCTGCACAGCAAAGGAAACAGTCAACAAAACTAAGATGCAACCCACGGAATAGGAGAAGATATTTGCAAATGACACTACAGATAAAGCACTGATACCAAAGATCTATAAAGAACTTCTCATACTCAACCCTCAAAAGACAAATAATCAAGTCAAAAAAATGGGCAGAAGGCATGAACAAACACTTCTCCAAAGAAGACATATAAATGGCCAATAGACACATGAAAAAATACTCAACATCACTAGCCATCAGGGAAATACACATCAAAACTGCAATGAGATACCACATTACACCAGTTAGAATGGCAAAAATTAACAAGTCAGGAAGCAACAAATGTTGGCGAAGATGTGGAGAAAGGTGAACCCTCTTACATTGTTGGTGGGAATGCAAGCTGGTACAGCCACTCTGGAAAAGAGTATGGAGGTTCCTCAAGCTGTTAAAAATAGAGCTACCCTATGACCCAGCAGTTGCATTACTATGTATGTGTACCTTTAGACACCAGTATCCTTGACACCTGACCACCAAGCAGGGTGAGACCCAGCCCTTCCAGTCCAGCCTTCATCTGTGACACTGTTTTATTCATCTGTACACTCAGAGCAAAGCCTTTCCTGCTCTGATTCTCCAGGCCACTCACCCTTCACCTCCAGCTCAAGTGTCATCACTTCTGTAAATTCCCTGATTAGCCCCAAGTAGAAGTGACCATTTCCTCCACTGTGTTCCCAAAGTGTCGTACACTTTCCTCTCTCACAGCTGCCTCCACACGTTGTCACAGCCACTGGACCATATCGCACGGAGCGCCAAACCCCTCCATTCATTAGTGTGTTCCCTGAACCCATCATATTCCCCCGGCACTCAGACTGCTCAGAACTCTTCCCTAAAACAATAATAAGTAGGTGAAGAAATACAAGACTAAACAGGGAGATCTGAAATGAACCTATCTTTGTGCCGAGTGACCTGAATATTACAGAGAAGTGAAAATGTGTAGTTGTGGAGGGAAAACCACCTTGTGGGGAGCAGTAGGAGCACTGTTAGCAGATATAGTTGAATGCTCCCATAGTCTAGTGTTGAATAGCTCTTGACACACAGTGGTGCTTAATAGCAAGGCAAGGGGCTGGGAAGACTGGGGGTCTTGCTGCTCAACCACTGTCCATCAGATTCTGGTCTAAACGATGACTTGATTTCATTACCACAGGGAACTCTTTCCACTCAGCTTCCAAAGATGGGCATAAGCCAGGACAAGGACAGGAGAGGAGCAGATCCATGGGTTAAGCCCTCTGCTTTGTGCTGGAAAAGCTGGTTTGAAGGAAAAGCCAGCCCTAGATGCAGAGATTGACACCTTGACTCTGAATTATGGTGCCTCAAAAGGCAACTCCAGATGTATTCTATAGTCTCTGGCTTCTCTATTCTCCAGAGGTGGATGGAGCTGGGACACAGGAGAACCAGGTCAGGACAGCTTGGGTTTTTTTTGTAGTTTCCTTTCTTTTTCTGTGTTCTTCTGCCGGTTCTGGCCACCTCCCTTCCTCTGGAGATATGCTGAGCTCAGCAAGCCCAGCTCCATCAGCTCTGCCCCCTGTGCCCATTGGCTTCTGGTCATCTGGTCATCTGATAAGGCTTAATGCTTCTGCTGCAGACAGGACCTGCCTCACTCTGTCCTGCTGGCACACTTGGCAGCCAGGCTGACTATTGCTGCTCCAGGGCCTCCTCCCAGCCTCAGATTTCAGCTCAGCACCTCCAGCAGCCTGGCTCATGGCTCTGCTATTCTCCTTGATCCTCGGTGAGTATCTCTGCCCCTGCTGACTGAGGCTTCAGCGTCTCCCCAGAACTTTGATCAGGGAGAGTGCTCTCTCCTCCCAGCCAGTGAAGATCCTGCTATTTTTTAAGGAGCAGCTTCACCTGCTCTCCTGCCTTCTCTGTGTCTAAACTCAAGCCACTGAATCCATACCCAATTTATAATCTATTTGATCACCAGAGTTTTTTCTATTTCCCTTTATTTGCACTGACAAATTTATAATAGTGTATCCCATTTCCCTTTTTATGTAAATTTTCCTAAATGTATTCTTTATAAAAAGACAAATGAACCGTGGGTAACAGCAGGTAGAGCAAGAAAAGGAAGAGAACCGGAAGACAGACAGCTTTCACAGGTCATACACTCCAGTTTCCTCTCAAAGGTGTTCCATATAATGTTTCCCTAGGGTCCCCGTTTCTTATCATCCAGAATAATTTACTGTAAATGGGGATTTTGGAGTCAAAGCGACCTGAGTTTCAATCCTTGTTCTTAGATTTCTTAGCTGTCTGAATTGTTAAATTACCCTCTCTCTCTGGAATCCTATTTTCATCTGTGAAATGAAGGTAATAGTATGTTCTTTGGAGGTTTGTTAGGAGACTTTTCATGAGATAATGAACTTGGGGCACCTAACAAGGCCTACTAGGTCTCTTCCCTAATCAGTCACAACCATTTTATTGTCTCGAGGATCCCATGCATCACCAAAGCTCACACTGGCACTTAGTGTGCTCTCTGTAGGGTGCTGGCTGAATTCCTAAACACCAATACATTTCCTGTATCACCTGCCAGCAAGTCCAGCCCCATCAGGAGTGTCCTATCACCTCTTCTCTGCTTTCCTTCAGCCCCACCTCCTTCATGAAGCCTCTCTGGTTTGACTACCCATAGTCATCTACCCTGCTCCAGAACTTTCAAGTCCCTCTTGGGCTCTATGGTGTTCATCCCTGCATACCAGGCTCGACACACTCGGTTTGCATTCTGTATATACAGGCTTTGTGCTCTTTACTAGATGTGTGGGGTGTTGTGTGTAACATTACTTTGAGGTTTAGACGGTTACAGACAAGGTCTCACTGAGTCTGAGATTGGCTATATCCTGGAGAATAAGGGCATTGCATTATTTAGAAATTATTTGGAAATGAAAAGAAGAAAATGTTCCAGGATAAGCCACTAAAATTCTTGGATCTGCCTGAAAGACTCTAGACCAAAGACATTAGCTCCTTCAGAAATATTGCATAAGATGTGGGGGGTGGGGCATGGCTGTTCTGCAGTTCAGAATGCCTACGGCCTTGGGGACCACTGATGGGCACAGGGCTCAGGACCCTCGGCGGCGTTAGAAGGGAACCTAATGCATAGAGGAGCCCGATCACCCAGAGGTCCTATAGGGAGAAACTATGATGTCCTATGATGTGCTGGCCCTTAAGCCTGGGGTTTGGAACCAAATGTAAGGCTGCTTTCTGGCCTGTTGATCAGGGGTCAGCAAACTACAGCCCACAAGCTAACAATGGTTTTTACATTTTTAAACAATGGGGAAAAATCAAAAGAAGAATACTATTTTGTGACAGGGAATTCTAAATTTCAGTGTCTATAAAAAAAAGTTTATTGTAGCATGGCCATGCTCATTCATACTCATATCCACACGTGGCTGTTCTTATGCTACAGTGACAGAGCTGAGTGGTGGTAACAGAGACCAGAGGCTACAAAGGCCAGATTATTTGTGCTCTGGCCCTTTACGGGAAAAGTGTCCTGGCCGTGGCCTGAGCGCAGTGCCAGTGACACAGACAAATCCTGCCCTTTCCCTTCTCTGTGCTGCCCCCATGGCATTTCTGTCTTCTGCACCAGAGCCCTTCCCAGCGGCCTTCAGCATGCCTTGCTGTGGAGCCCAGAAGCTGCACACCACCCGTCCACTTCAGGCAGTAATCAGTCAATATAATTGGCTAGACTAGAAAGTGAATCTATCCATGGCTGCGGCAGCGCAACATCACGTGTACAGGGAACATGTTGGGCTGTGGTAGAATTGGTCTTTGTGGTTCCCAGTCACTGTCCATGTGTCCTTCAGGTCTGGTCATTGCAGGACAAGGTTTCCTTAGGCCTGACCCAGCACGCTAGCTGCCCCACAAAGTCTAGCAGAGATTTTCTAGAGAGTCGTGTTGTTTGAACAAAGCCTTGGGATTGACAATATGATCTCACTCGCCTCCTTCTTCTCTCCTCAGCCATTTGCACCGGACCTGGTCTCTTAGGTAAGATTTTTGGGGTCCTGAGAGGGAGGCCTCCAAGCCCTTGAGATGAAAACCTTGATGCCTCCTTGGGGCATGGGGAGAGGCTCTAGTTCAATAGAACCTGAGTAAATTTCCTCTCCAGTTTCTCAGTCCAACCGCTCTGTCCTATGTGGGTGGGTTTCCACCTCCAGAACATGGTAGGGGTTTGGGTGGTGTTTCCTGTAAGGAGATTCCCTTCCACTTGGCCTCTGTGGCCTAAAAACCCACCTCCAAGTAGCAGATGGCTTTGTTTGGGGACTCAAAAGGCACCCCACCCCCTTGTCGGCATATCTGGGAGAGGAACTTCCTTTTGCCCTGCTGGGCTCTACCACTTCCCAGCCCCTGTGCCAACCTGCATGGCTCCTTTGAACTAGAAATGCATTTATTTGTGTGCAGTGTGTGGTTTGACCAGCAGTGGGCAGGCTGGATTTCAGCCTCCCCTGGCCACCTGTGTGGACCATGCACAAGCTACACAGAGAATAGGTCTGTCAAGAGGAAGGCTGTGATCTCCAGACTCAAGGGGGTTGGTCGTGGACCCTCAGCTTCTTATACATTATCCCATGGGTCTTTTTCTCTTGATGGTAGAGGCTTTACCAGAGAGGGACAGCCACAGACTCTGCAGTGGCCATGAGGGACTCCACACCAGCAGGATGTAATTCAATTCTTTCAGCATTGCTGCTTCAGATTCTCAGTCTAAAAATTAGATTACATGGTCTTTTTCCTGTGGTGTACAGGGGTGTCCTCACTGCTGGTACAGGGACCTTGGCTCTACAGCTTTCCCACAGCCCAGGTCACTGCTTCTCCACCCCCAGCCCTGCTCTCGTGCTGTCAGCCAGCAAAGTAGGCTGAGGGCACTGCCCGGGAGGCAGCTGCCCCGGTGGCCCCTCTGCCCTTCTCTCTGGCTTTCAAATCTCTTCTCAGCTGCATTTCCTTGACACTTAGGCTGTTTCTTTCTTACATGTTTCTTCTTTCCTGGGAGGGGTTCTAATTCTCCTTTTCATGGAAAATAAAACTCATTTAAAGCCAGAATTTTACAATTCGAAATCAGATAACATGTGCATGTAGATAGCTAGTGCTTCCTGGAGTACACAATAATGCATGTCTAAATTCAAATCTTGCAATGACCCAACTGCTATTTCTCGGTGACTCTTCTTGAGTTATATTTATACCCTGTAAATGTAGGTGTGCAAAAATGAAAACTTTTCTTAGTTTTTTAAGTTAAATTTTAAAATCTATTTCTAGCCTCCATTCCTCATATTGCTTCCCTCAAAAAACACATGGAACAAAAGGAGGCACAAAAACAAATGAACAAACCAAATGTCAACTTCCAATGCACTCTAAAATCAACCAGCTCAGTGTTTCTCACTCAGCAACTTCTTCTGGGGTTGATTCCAGGTTCTAGGGAGTTTTTGCAGAGGTGAGGCAAGGTAGATGGTGGAAGATCTGGTCCTCCAAAGTCATATTCCATTCATGCATGTGCCTGAGTCACCCACATGTCCCATGTGGTCATAGGTGACACTGCTCATAATGGGGTAGGCCACAGACCAGCAGTCACGTGTGACCCCTCCATGTGCCCCAGACCTGTCTCGGTCAACTACCCCACTCCATGGAGGCATGGCCCATTCATCTCTTCTCTATCACGCTGTCATTCAAGGGCTAACTAGCTCTTCACCCTTTGTATCTCACCCTTCCAGGCTGCTGGAGTCTTTGTGGGGTTGCCCCAGACCTCTTAAATATAATCTCCTGGAGGGCAGCAATGCTCTGAGTTCATAAACCAATACCTGGAACATAGTATATGCTCAACAAAAGCGTGTTGCCTGATAGGCTCTTCTTTGCTCTCCCACAGCCATCGCCACTCTATGTCTTGTCTCAGTGGAAGAAGGAGAGAATTTCCATTAGCCTTTTCCACCCTCAGAGTTATTGTGGGAAAGCAGAATCATGTACTGGATTCCTCAGAACATATCTGGAGGCTCTGGGGAGATTGTTTCCTACCCCAAACCCTAGAACCCTCTAGACTAAGATTCTGACTGGTCAAGGCTCTGACACTTCCTTCGCCCACTGCTGTCTGCATTCCTCTGAGCTGGGTTCTTGAGCACAGGAAGATGTCATGAGAAGCAGCAAGGATGGGTAGTGGGGGATCACGGATATTGGGAGAGAAAGAGAGTCAGGTTGTTCAGCCCAAGTTATATCTATACAGCCAGCCTCCATCTGGCTTCCACTGGGGGAGGCAGAGTCAAGAAATGACAACACAACAGAGCACATCTCTACACTTGTATTCTGACCGGGGGCTTCCACCATTTAGTGGTGTGAGCATATATACGTAGGTGTCTTGAAGCGGAGTTTCTTGGCAGGGTAGGTTAAGAGTGGAGCAGAATCAGAACTTAGGGATGGGGTCCTGAAGCTCCTCTCCCTCTACTTCCCTCATAAGCCCTCCATCTCAGCCCCCAATATCCCACACCCTCTGGAAGTGTTGGAAGAGTTCTGAGATGCCTGAGTTCTCTCTCATCCTCCAGATGCCCATCCAAGCTCCCATCCCTTTGGAAGGTCTTCGTCCAGTGTGCGGCTGGTGGGAGGTGACCACCACTGTGAAGGGCGGGTGGAGGTACAGCAGGCCGGCGAGTGGGGCACCGTGTGTGATGATGGCTGGGATAAGAATGATGCAGCTGTGGTGTGCCGGGAGCTGGGCTGTGGAGCCGTCAAGAGGGCAATCAGTGGTACTGCATATGGGCCACTGACGCAAGAAAATCAAAAAATCTTCATCCAAGAATTCAAATGCAATGGCATGGAAGAGAGCCTGTCTCAGTGTGAAAGGGAAGATTTTTTTGACTGCACTCACGAGGAGGACGCAGGAGCTGTATGTGAGTGTAAGTACCGTAGCCCCACACCCTGTGCCACCAGACCCGTGGACCAGAGTCACCTGTCTTAACCCCCACCGTGGACTTCACACATAGTAACTAGCTCCTCACCCTTCGTATCTCACCCTTCTCAACTGTGGGCCCAGCAGAGGAACATTATCCTCACTTAGTATTATTCCTGCTCTTTGGATGAGGTAAAGCATTTAGCTTAGTTTCAACCTACATGAGAGCCTGCTTCTCTCCTTCATTAGCACGTGCGCGCGCGCGCGCACACACCCACCCACACACACACACACAAGTACGCCCAGATCCATCCACCACTAAGTGTTGGTTGAAGAGTATAACCTGTGTCTGGAGCTTGGGGGAGGTATGGGGAAGAAAAGAGCTGGCAAGGTATGAGGTATGTTTCCTGGTTTTCGCCCCTAAGAAAACCAAGTACAGTGCATGCTCTTCCAGCTCTCAAGTGTTCCACCAATGAGAGTAGACAAGAGGTGCTCTTAGGAAACCAACACAACACTTTGCCTTCTGTGCATTAATAATCCCCTCTCTGCATGCACCTCCCATTAGACTGTGATTTGCCTGAGAGGCTCGTCCATGTCTTCTCTTTGTCACCCTGCAGACTGTTACCAGGGAAACAACTAATAAATCCTTGTGCCTGGTGCTGAGATCTCATTCCTACTTCTTAGAGAGATTGAAGGTTGGGAGCACTAATTCATGATACTTGTGTGATAATGCTGATAATGAACCAGGAAGTTTTTGGGCTTGGACACATTGTGTATGTTACTCTTGCATTTTATTTTTAAAAAATCTATGCAATCCCTCTACTTGCCTCTTATGAGGAACAAGTGAGAATATGAATATGAAAATAATTCAAAAAACTAAAAATGTTATGGAAATAATTAATTCACTTGGAACTGAAAAATGACATTCATTTCATTGATTCACTCATCCAACCCATATAACAAGCATCTACTGGACAACCCTAAGCACTCTAGACACATTGTACTAAACACCAAGAACAGAGGAATGTGCCCACGGGGCTCTATTCTGGGAAGACCATGTTCTTGCTTGAACAGACACCTCCTCTTTCCTTTCCCACAGTCCCAGAGAATGTGCGGCTGGTTGATGGCCCTAAGCGCTGCCAGGGCCGAGTAGAGGTGAAGCACCAAGGGCAGTGGGGCACCGTGTGCAAAGCAGGCTGGAGCTTTGCAGCTGCCAAAGTGGTGTGCCGGCAGCTGGGATGTGGACGGGCCGTACTGACCCGGAAATGCTGCAACAAAGCCACCCAGGGCCAAGGGCCCATCTGGCTGAGAAAGGCATCATGCTCAGGAAAAGAAATCAGCCTTCAGGATTGCCCTTCTGGGGTTTGGGAAAGGAGCAACTGCACCCATGATGAGGACATGTGGGTGGAATGTGAAGGTAAAGCCCATGAGTCCAGAAACTAGATTCATTCATTAATTTGGTTAAACTGGATTCCATTTAACCAATGTCTACAGACAGCTAGTCAGGCATCAAGTGACAGTGACAGAGTCAGTTATTCATCAATTCTTGTTATTTATTTATTTATTTATTTATTTATTTTAGAGAGAGAGAGGGAGAGCACAGCGGGGGGAAGGGGAGAGAGAATCCCAAGGAGACTCCAGTCCGATCATGGAGCCCAGTGCGGGTCTCTATCTTACGACCCTGAGATCATGACCCCAGACAAAATCAAGAGTTGGGCACTTAACTGACTGAGCTATCCAGGTGCCCCTCTTGTTTTTTTCAAACGCTGACATCAATGCCTCCCTCTGTACAGGAAAATGGTTTCAGTGATAAGGAAGTGCTAGATTATTGTGAACTATTAATATATTGAATTCTACACAATGGAGACAGAGCACGCCACTCATGTATTGTTGAGCTCTTTAATTAAAAAAAAACTATTGGGAAATCACTTATTAATATTAGATTTTTATAAATTAGACAGAGAAGTGGAAAATCCTAGTTAAGGAAGGGACCTGGACTACACAGTCAGGCAGAGAGAAGGGGATGAGGCACCGAACCTCAGTGGATGGTCTCACGTGCTGATGGGATTTGAGTGTAGAGGAACTTCTCTGTCAGTCCCCCTGCCTCCCTCCACCCTCACTCCCTCCTGCACCTGCAGATCCCTTTGAACTGCAGCTGGTAGGAGGAGACAGCCGCTGCGCCGGGAGGCTGGAGGTGTTGCACAAGGGCGAGTGGGGCACTGTCTGTGACGATGGCTGGGGAGAAGAAGCCGACCAGGTGGTATGCAGGCAGCTGGGCTGTGGGGAGTCCCTCTCTCCATCTGCCAAATTCCGGAGAAGATTTGGCCCTGGGGTTGGCCACATCTGGCTGGATGACGTTGCTTGCTCAGGGGAGGAGAGGTCCCTGGAGCAGTGCGCGCACAGGTTTTGGGGCCAACACAATTGCAAACATGCAGAGGACGTGGCTGTGGTCTGTGCAGGTAAGTCCTGGGGCAGAGTTCATGGGGACATCACAGGGGGAGGGGAGGGACAGGGGTTCCCACCAGGGTGGTCTCCTATTTTACACTTACTTCAGGGGATATGGGTGAAGCATTTGAGCAATAAATAGAAATAATGATGATACTAATAATAAACCCCATACTGTAGACTTACTGATGGGAGAGGAAGAGAGGTTTTAAAAATTACTGGATCAACACCTTATATTAAACATAAACAAAGTGAGACTCAGAGAAAATAAACAACTTTCCAAAATCATAAAAATTGCTTTGAAATGGTAGAGCAGAACTAAAGTGACTTGTCCTGACTCTGATCTCCGGGGTCATTCTCCCAGCTGACCCCAATCCTCACAAACTAAGTTTAAACTATGGGAGACAGTCCTACCTCATTCTACCTGACGTCACTCCATGGATTTCAGGTGAACCTGTGGGAATCGGGCTGGGGTAGGGGGGCTCTTGAGATGCCCAGGAAGCAGAGTCATTCCAGACAGTGGGGGGACTGTAGGCCTCTTCAGGGAAGGGAAGGAGGAAGCCCTGCCCCAACTTGAGCCAGGAAATGAAAGCTCAGCCCCTGGGGGCTGAAGCCCAGCTTGATAAGCAGGGTGTGAAAGCAGGGCTGCTTGGTTTAACCATGCTGCTGTGGAGCCAGATGAGGGCTGAGGTTGACTAAGGGCCTGATGACCAGCTAGTACCCAGAAGAGGAGGGATTTAGTCATGGAAGACTACAGTTTGAGCCCTGATCCTGCCATTTTGAGGCTCTGTAATCTTAGTCACTTAACTACTCAGGACCTCATTGTTTTCATCTATAAAATAGAAAGGCCCTTGGCCCATTGACCTCAAAGAGTTTCATGATCGTGTGAGGGTGAGATGTGTTCATATACGGGAACGCTGTTTGTGGCAGCTAGCTAAGTAAGCCCCTGGGATGCTGCACCTGACTCTGATTTGACTCACATCTTCGGGGGATGTGTGTACGATTAGGGTCTGGGAGGGCCTCTCTTTCCTACACTGGGACCCAACCTTCTTTCTTAGCCTCTTTGAGCTTGAATGAAATAATCCTTTTTTGACATGTCCCATCCTTACCGTACATTCTTCTTCTCTTTACAGAACAGTAGCCTGGCCTACCTGAAGCTCAACCCAACCCCCACAGGCCCCACGTGTCCCCTACTTCTCATGGACCCTGATTGGCTTGGCCTGAGCCCTGGGCTACAGGCTGTACCCGCCTCCCACTCTGCCCCCAGCAGCCATCTGAACCCTGTGCGCTGCCTTGCTCTACAGCCACACACTCCTGTCATTGCCTGGAGACATGAGCTGTTGAATGCCCTCTGCCGGGGAAGATGAGCCCACAGTCACCCTCTCCTCACTCAGGAGCCCTGTCACCTGTGCCGTCTCTTTTCTCCCAGCCTGGGATCCCCAGGCTGGTGTCCTGACCAGTGTGGGCCATGGCTGGGCACCATCTATGTCTGTAGAGAACATGAAAGGAACCAGACCATTACGTGGAACCTGGGGAGGAGTCTTTTAGATCTTTTTCTCATGCTTTAGGTGATCACAACAATTGATAGCACCTCACAGCCCTCCTGCTTCTCGGGGACAGCACATTCTTTCAGGAACAGGGCAGCGTCCTGTAATTGTAGATGCTTTGATGGTCCTTGGAAGCAATGGTGTGCCCCTCAAATGCCTGCAATAAAAATCCTTTGTTGACCCTCCAACGTGGTTGCCATTTATCAAGAAGAATCTTACAAATGCATTCTAATTGATCTAGGGAAATATGTGTTGGTGATGGGGCTGCCTCTGGAAGGAGGGGAGGCTGAGGCAGAAGGAGGTTGGGGAGGCAGGAGTTGTGCCTCCTGCCAATCAGATGATACCACTTTCACTGTATCCGCTCAGATGCTGGTGCCTGCAAGTCTGAGGCAAGGCACAGTGATGCTAAGGTCAGGACTTAATTCTAAAACTCAGCAGCCTTGCACTCTGAGGCTCAGCTGAGCACCTGCTGTATGCCTGCATTTCCGCTGCCTAATAAAGCAGACCCCCCAGTCTCTGCAGCTGCCTCCTGTGCAGTGGACTTTTCTTGCCACCGGCAAGCAGGTGCGCCTTCCCAGCAATGGCCTTTGGAGCACCGCTGGGCAGAAGAGGACCTGCTGGCAGCTAGGACCAGCTGTGTTACAGAGCACTATCCTCTTGTCTCTTCCCTAGCATGGGAACATAGAGCACCTGGCTCCGTAGTCGAGAAGAGAAGGCCTCGCCAAACATTTTGGGATCTACCTTGTTTACTCAAAGATTTTGTCTTTTATCTGATCAGCTCTCTTTATCTGATGAGGTCTTCCTGATTTTCCCAACACACTAGTGTCCTGTTCGCTTCACCCCATGGTAGCTGGAACCCCCAGGCCTCTGAGCAGCCTGCACCAAGCCATTGAAAAGCTATTTTATCCTCAGTGGAGCAGACAGGGTTGGAATGTCACAAAAGGAACTTCAAATTCCCTCTAATTTTATATTAAAATTTCATTTATCTCCATTCCGTTAAGTCCCCTGAGAATCAGTCAGATAAAAGTAAGAGTTCTTGGGAGAGACGGGGTGAATCCCACCCGGAAGCAAGAATTGATAGTAGCCTAAATAGTGTCACTGAAGGAGAGCAAACCAAGAGGGTGACCCTGGCCTGTTGTGGGGACAGAGGTCATGTCCACAGTGGGCTCGGATGATACAGTACATCAGAGCCTGAGCAGACTAGCATGTGACCCTGGCTGCCAGCGCTCAGACACTGCTGAGTCTTCCTGGACTCGTCGCTCATCTCTCCCAGGGGCCTTTTATCAGAAGATAGGCCAGCCAGGGCCCCCAGCCGGGCCCCTGCCAAGAGGCCACTCACCTGCGGCTCTGCATTCAGGGGGAGTACTGCCTGAGTAGGGCAGGGAATCTGAGTCGGTTTGCACCTTCTCCCACAAGACACCCTCCTGAGACCCTTGCCAGGGTCCAGATTCTTAGACACCCTGCACTCCTGGGCCCACACATGCGCAGTGTGCACCCCTCCAGCTGGCCTGGGGCAGATGGGGTCCTCTGGGCCCGTGGGGCTAGGGACTGGTTGCAGCCACCTGCAGAGTCTCCAGGACACAAAGGGCCCCAAAACCCCCTGAGGCAGCAGCGACAGACTTGCCACAATCAGTGCCCACCTGGACTTGCTGCCTGGCAGGGTCCTCGCCAGCACACAGGGCTCCCAGATCTGTTTTAGTGGAAGATGCAGTGGGCAACCCTCGGGCCTGCGCTGACAGGCAGGCCACTCACTCTGTCGTCAGTGGAATATTGTCCCCTGGGTAGGTGAGTTAGGGCTTGCAAGATGCATGCGCCTCGTGACCTTGCTTGTCCCGTCTCTTGTCTGGGTCCTGATCACAGCACACACACCTTCACCCAGCCTGGGGCAGCTGAGGCATAGTCCCCAGTAGAAGGGAGCCAGCCCCTGAAGTCTCCCTGAGGCAGCTACAGATTCTCTGCCCTCAGCCCATTGGCACTTGTTGCTTTATCGTCCCGGGCTCCTCCAAGCGCCCAGGGTCCCCAGGTGTCTCTCCTATCCAGATGGGGCCATGTGGCCAGTTCTCAGAACGGACGTGACACCCATCAAGGCCATTGACAGAGCTTGCCTCGCCCATGCTCTCTCTCCCCATCTGCTGGCTTGTCAGGGAAGACCCCAGTGACACAGGGGTGTCCAGAGCCATCCGAATGACCTGGTGGCAGGCTCCTCACCCCGTCTCTGCTGACCGTGAAACAAGTAAGTCCTGTGTCAAGCCAGGGAGATGTTTGGATGGCTTATTAAAGGCACTTAGCTTACTCCGACTAACACAGACATAAACAGTTTTTACAAAATCAATTACATTTCTTCGGAACCCGCCAACAAAGGCCCGGATGCATGCTCCACTTCCTTGGAAGCCTCTGCATATCTAGTATTTGGTGCTAATCAGGGGATGTGCCCCCTGGCCCACTCATAATTGTGTTTTTAGTATGAAGTAATCATAGTTTATTTTTGACGGTCTCCTGAGCTTTTTTGTTTTTAAACTGTACCCAACATGTCCATTGCAAACATTGTGTGTGTGTGTGTATTTTCAGACATTATTTTTTTTTAAGAGCAGTTTTAGGTTCCCAGCAAAATAGAGAGGAAGATACAGAGAGTTCCCATATACCTGCTGCCTCCACACGTGCACAGACCCCCCCCCAAATTGCCAACCTTCCTCACTAGGGGTTGCGTTTGTTACAATCAAACTGCTTTGACGCGTCATCACCCAAATGCTATAGTTTACACTGGGTTCACTCTTGGTGGTGTTCTATGGGTTTGGGCAAATTTATGAACATGTATCCACCATTATAATGTCACGCAGAGTAAGTTTATCTCCTAAAACTCCTCTAAAGTCCTCTGTGCTTGCCTATTCAACCCTCCCTCCCCCCTAACTCCTGGCAACCACTGATCCTTTTACTGTCTCCCATAATTTTGCCTTTTCAAGAATGTCATAGAATTGGAATCACACCATACGTAACTTTCTCAGACTGGCTTCTTTCACTTAGAGATATGCATTTAAGTTTCCTCCATGTTTTTTCATGGCTTGATGGCTCATTTCTTTTTGGCACCGAGCGATATTCCGTTGTCTAGATGGACCACCGTTTATTTATCCATTAACCTACAGAAGGACAACTTGGTTGCTTCCAAGTTTTGAAAACCATGAGTGAAGCTGCTATAAACATCCATGCGCAGACTTTTGTGTGGCTATGTTTTCAACTCCTTTGGGTAAAAACTAAGGAGCATTTTTAAACAACACAGTCCTGTCTTCCTGGCCACAGTTAATTGGTACCGCGAGTGGGCGTCTGTCGCAAGCTGGATGGATCAGCCCTTCCGAGGAGATGGGAACTGTGACGGAGAGTAGCTGGACTTGTAGCACATCAACCCGGGAGCTGTGGGTGGCCGTTTTCCCCATACCAGGTGCATCAGAGAATGAGAAGAAGCCCTTCCACATAGATAAGCTAGAAGGTACAAAACAGAGAGGAACAGACGAGAGACAAAGAGAATCCAGACAGCATCTTCTGGTTCTGGTTCTTGTCTTTTCTGGAGTCCAACTGCATTCCTAACTTTAGGTTCCGTGACAAACTACTGTATACTTATAATATACATTTTATGTATAGATACATAGATACATATAAAAATATATATATGTAAATTTTTTCTTCCAAATTTTTATTTAAATTCTAGTTAGTTAACCTAAGTGCAATATTGGTTTCAGGAGTAGAATGCCGTGAGTCATCACTTACATACAACACCCAGTGCTCGTCACAAAAAAGTGCCCTCTTTTATACCCCTCCCCCATCTAGCCCATCCCCCGCCCACCTCCCTCCGTCAACCCTCAGTTTGTTCTCTGTCATTAGAAGTCTCTTGTGGTTTACTATATATATTATATATTTAAAATTTTGATTGAATTATCTCATTGGTTTTTGTACTGCAAACCAAAATAACCCTAACCAATTTTCTCATTTAAAATTAAGAAAGTGACACTTTACTCATCATGTGTGATAAGCCCATTTATTAGTAATGAATCAATTCTCACTGCACTTACAGCATCAAGTTATGGATCTGAAAAGGCAAGGGCCAGGACCTATAGCCGAGATACCAATACGACAGATGCAGGCAGCCGTACATCCCAGAGTGCTAGTCCTTAGTCCACCTCGAGGTCATGGCTCTCTTAAATCATCAGAAGCTGATGCCCCTCCAGCCACGTCCTGTCCAGGCTGCTCTCTCGGCCTCTTTCCAGGGATGTCTGAAGTCAATCTGCTCTTGACTGACTCGGCAGACCCAAGCGACGCTAACGTCCCTGCTGGGTTGGTGGACACTCCGTGTGGACGATGCACAGTGACAGGCTGGAAGGAGGCTTGGTCTTGCTAACCCTGGGAGGAGAGAGGCAAACATCTGTCTCTGAGTGGCCCTTCTGTTGGACTCTGTCTCTGTGAGAAACTCCAGAAGAATTGTGACCTAACACATCTCATCTGTAGTAGTGACAAGACTTATCCCCAGTGGTTATCCCAGAGACACAGGAGGGGACCCCATCATGTCAAAAAGCAGGAGGGAAAACACTGGAGGCGATCCTTGGTTATCTGAGGAGAGAGAGGGAAAACCTGAAAGCATGAGTGTAGAGGAAGATTTTCTGGTGAAGTCATAAAAAGTCATGGTCCCTGTTTGCTTAGGACAGGATGGTCGATGTCTGCTGAGGGCCAGTTAATCTCTGATAATCATTTTTAGTGGACACTTGCACTCCCAAAAGTGTCCTGGTTTGGATGATAAAATCCTGTGTTCATTTTAGCTTTGAGGGATGGTTAATACTTGAGAACTGTATTTGACAAGATG